ATTGGCTACCACTTTCGTTTTTAATAAAACACACAAATCTCCTCCAGGAAGTATCTATTTTCCTAACCAAGACTAGCCAGCACTGATTAACTCAACTGTGCCAGCATTTATTCTTTGATTTACAAAGTAACTTCTATTTTTAGGCAGTAACTTGGCCATTACAAGAAAAACCTCTATAAAAAATATACCTTCTAGGAGCCTCTCTGTGCAAGGGGTTAAACAGCAGCACTGTGGGGCTGTCAGCCACCAGTGCAGCATGGGTTTGATACCAGCCTGCATGGCGTGGCAGACCTCTCCTGTCTCGCCCACTGCTCCCCTCAGCAGTGTATCTGCCTATTCTGCTCCCCACTCTGTCTCTGGTGAGTCCTCTCACCCCCTGTACCTCTGGCTTGTACCCCAGTTCTTATATATGTAAATTAATAAATATATTTTTAAAAATACACCTTCTAGGGCCCTCCCTGGTGGCACAGCAGGTTAAAGCACAGCACTCAGAAGCTAAAACCACTTCCACAAGAGTTTGATCCCCGCCTGCCAGGAGGTGATCCACATGGCATGGCAGACCTCTCCTGACCCGCCCGCTGTTCCCCACTCTCTCTGGTGAAGCCTCTCACGGCCCCTGCACCTCTGGCCTGTACCCCAGTTCTGTATGCACAAATAAATAAATCTTAAAAAAAAAAAGAAAATACACCTTCTAGACATTTTCCCAAAGACATACAAATGGCCAGCAAGTATATGAAAAGGTGCTCAACATCACTAATCATCATAAAAAAGACAAATCAAAACCATAGCAAGCTATCACCTGTTAGAATAGCAATTATCTAAAAGGCAAGTGTCAGCATGAATATGGAGAAAAGGGAGTACTGTGCACTGCCAATGAGAATATAAATTGGTGCAGCCACTATGGAAAACAGTATGAAGGTTCCTCAAAAAATTATAAATAAAGCTATCACATGAGCCAGCAATTTCATTTCTAGTTACAAAGAAAATGCAAACTCAAAAAATTTATGCAGGCTTTATGCAGGTGGCACAACGGGTCAAAGCGGAGCACTATGAAGCTATCATAGCCACTGTAATACAAGTTTGCTCCCTGGCTAAGGAGGTGACCCACTGGGAGGTGGGTCAGGGAAGTGACAGACTTCTCCTGACCCACCTGCTGCTCCCCTCAGCAGTGTTTTTCAGTATATCTGTGTGTTCTGCTCCCCACTCTGTCTCTAGTGAATACTCTCAACCCTAGCACCTCTAGCCTGTATCCTGTCTTGCCCACTGCTCCCTTCAGCAGTGTTATCTGCTGTGTAGGCATAAATAATAAATAAATCGTTTTTTAAAAAAATTTATGTGTCCCTGTGTTCATTGCAACATCACCTGCATGATCCAAAACATGGAGACAACTTCAGTGTCCACTAAAGAATAAAGAAAAAGTGAGACACACACACTCATTTTTACATGATGGAATATTATTATTCACTCATTAAAAAAAATGGAATCTTGACATTTGTAGCAACATAGCTGGACCCTAGGGCCTTATGTTAAATAAAATAAGTCAGAGAAAGACAAATACTATATATTGGTCATGTAAAACCTAAAAAAAAAATTAAGCTCACAGGTATAGAAAGAAAAACATTGGTGATAGACAGATGAAATTGTGGGGTTTAGGGAGAAATTGATGACTGGAATCAAATGGCACAAACTTCCAATCATAAAATAAGTAAGGGAAAGTAATATACAGCATAGCAACTTTAGTTAGTAATATTTCATTGCTTATTTGAAAGTTGCTAAGAGTAGATCTTAAAAGTAAGAGAATTTTAACTAAGAAGGGATATTAACTAGACTTGACTTAGTGCAATTATTTAGCAACATATACAAATAAAGAATTGCTATGCTCTACATCAAAAACTAATATGTCAATTATACTTTAATTTTTAAAAATTGCCTGTAAAGCCTTGTCATATTGTTTTTACTTGTACTCTCAGAATTCAGACTTAAACAAAGACAGTGTTTGCTTACAAAAAAATAACGCCTACAAAGCAGTATTACTGTATGTATTATGCCTTGAGATGGCATCTACTAACTACTGAACTCTACAATAAATGTTTGCTCTACCAGTACACTATTCTACTACCAACAATGGATTTTTTTTTTAATTTTTTTTATTTGTGTATATAAGAACTAGAGTACAGGCCAGAGATGAGGGATGGGGTGAGAGGATTCATTAGAGACCGAGTAGGGAGCAGAACAGGCAAATACACTGATAAGTAGAGCAGCAAGCTAGACAGAAGTCTGCTGTGCCGTGTGGGTCAGCTTCCTGACTGGGGATCGAACTCATGCTGAAGTGGCTGCTGATAGCTTCATAGCCTGCCACCTAATCCCTTGCACGACCGGGAAGGGGGGGGGCTTAATAATTTTTTAATGTAGTTTTTCCAAAACAACACCCCGGCAAACACAAGAATAGTCACCAAAGAAAAAGATTCTCCCAGTCTCCATTAGTAATGTAGTTTCTATTAATCACTTTCAGATAAAACGACTCTGAATTAATTTGTATGCATAAATACCACAAAGGATTAGTACGGCTAACTGAACTACCCATAATTTTATACTCTGGTTCTTCGTGATAAAGTCTTTCCTTAAGCAAGACCACCTACTAAAAATGGATCCCAAGTTTTCTCTAGCTATCAAAAACACTTTCAAATAAGGCACAGGAACTAGACGAGTTACCTCAACGTTGTCCGTGAGACCGTACTCAGAGTGAGGATTTTCTGCAACCTAGAAAACAAAACACAGGTCACGGAGACGTCAATCAGCCACTCTTTTCCGCTGCACACCGCCACCCTGAACCCAGGGCCTCATGGTACCTGCGTCTGTCCCTCCAGCATCTGCTCTGGTTCCATGGCGCACCCTGCAAGTCACAGTCTCCGATCCCAGTCTTGGAAAACAAGAAGAACTGTGAGTAACCCGGGAGATTTCAACACGAAAACGCCAGGATGGAGTCCAGCCCAGCCCCCGACCCCGCCCCTCACCCCCACCTGGGCGCGGAAGCACCCGGAGCGGTAGAGAAGCAAGGTGGGACAGTCCAAGACCAGGCGCCCGCATCAGGTCCGGAAGCTCCGCGGTAATCCCAAGAACCTAGAAGAAGTGGGGAAAGGAGGAAAGGGAGCTGATTACCCGCGCCCAAGCCGTTTGTTCCTAAGAGCCCTGCACCGCGCCACCAACTCCCAGCACAAACCGCTTCGGCCGTAAGTGACGGATGTCGCACGATTGCCGCGCCTGCGCAGAACTCCCCAGCGGCCGGGGCGGGGACTCTGGCCCGCGTGGTGCCGGTGTTGCTCTCCGCAATCCGCCGGGTGTCCTGGCAAAGGTGAGGCCGAGAGAGAAGAGTTCCTCAACCCGACCACCCAGGGCGAGCGCCACCGAACCTGCAAACCCGGCCCAGCTAGGGGGGCTTAAGCCTGGCCGGCCCGCAATCTACCTGAAAGCTTCTGCCCAGCCTCTTCCTCGCTGAACCAAACCACTACTTCGCCGAGTGGTGCTTATCAAAAATTCACGGATCCATACTGACCTATCTACGAAAGACTGTCCAGTACACTTGTTGTTACTCTTTGGCTTTAGCTAATTGAAGTCAAAGGTGGGGAAAGCAGTGTTTTGGGGTGTCATAATAAGCCTTTATTAAAGCCTTTCAATATGTGAGTGTCTTGTTAGTGCTACTTAAGTTTGTATCAAGATTACCAATATGCAACCGGCTTTCCAAATAGAGATACTATTATATTTGTAAAAAAAAAAAAAAAAAAAAGGATTATTTTCCTCCTATGTGCTCCTATGTGTAATTGTAAATATCAAACAAGATCGTTATTTTCAACTTAAATTCCACTGTTATAATGTGAATATAAGTAATACACATTAAGTTCTTGCTTTGACTCAAGTTGTAGCTACACTTTACAATAAGAAATGTGAAAAATTCGTATCAAGTTGGACACTAAATTAGCTTAATCACATTAAAGTCGTGGCTGAAAATCTAGAAATATATATTTATTCTAAAGTTACTGTTTTAGAAACGTAGACTAAAATTTCATTTTGCAACTCTGTAAAAACTGTATGGATAAAAATCTAAAGTAAAATTTGTTCAGGAGCTAAACTTAGACCACGTGTTAAAATTCGTATTTCATAATGTATACTTGATTAGTTTTGTGATTGGTACTGCAACCTTATGACACTGAGGGTTTTTCATGTAAGACTAAAGCAAAGATGTAGATGTTTGTCAACAAAATATAGAAATTAACTAGTATATATATTAACTCATCAAGATTGGGTGCTCTTCTGAAGTAAAAATAAAAAAAAAAGTATAACCAGAGAAAAATTGGGAAAACATGAGAATTGAATAGTTATGTGCACCGTTATATTGTCATATATCCATAAATTTACCAGTACATAGCAGGCATTCAATAAGTATTTCCAAATTCCAGGAAGTAATTAAATGCTCCTAATTTACACTTTGTGAATACTGAGTCTCAGTAAAGTAGGAAGCTGGGCCATGAGCTCCTTCAGAGCAGGGACTTTGTCTTTTATATTTCACACAGTGGTATATCAAAGGTGAAAAATATATGTTGAGTTGAATCATGCTAATAATTGCTTATTTTATTTATTTATGTATACAAGAGTTGGGGTGTAGGCCAGAGGTGTCAGGAGTGAGAGGATTCACAAAAACAGCGTTGGGAGCAGAACAGGCAGATCCTCTGAAATACACTGCTGAGGGGAGCAGCAGGCAAGACAGGAGAGGTCTGATGTGCCCTGTGAGTTATCTCCCTGGCCAAGGATCTAACTCCTGCTGCAGTTGCTGCCAATAGCATGATAGTGCTGAGACTTAACCCCTTGCAATGCCAGGGAGGTCCCTGAAAATTGGGAATTAATACATACACCAGGGAAGAAAAAAAAAATGGTTATTGAAGGAAACAACTGAACAATTTAACTGTCAGCCAGGTTCCTCTCATTTTAGAGAGAAGTTATTAATGTGATTTACCAAAAAGTTTCACTAAAAGTTTTACATGGGAAACTTGTTGGAAGATTCAGAGAGCATGTCATATCTGCAAATAAATGGGCAAAAATAAAAACGAAAACAGCTAGAAATGAGATAAAAGATTTAGCAGATTAGTAATAGAAAACAAGTTAACTGAAGATAGCACAGAATGCTGACATTTGATATTGTCCTGGGAACAATAATTATGATAGAAATTTGCCATAATGTATATTATAGAGAAGGATAAATTTAAAGAGAAGACCACTTAATTTTTATTTAGATTTGCAGCAAAATTTTGTCAGGATTGCTCTCATCTTCTGCTGTTGTGTCCTTCATTACATTATTTATCTCATCCTGCCTTATATTTTGTTTATGGTTAAACACAGATATTTGAGTACTTTGATGACAAAAATCATGTACTCATCTATTTGTTTTGTATATTTAGTAAATATTTTCCCAAAGAAATAATTTTAAATGGAAAGCGAGTGCTTGCACCAAAGAATTACTCCTAGACTTCCTGTCGTGGGTTTTTAGAGAGATAGTAGTTATAGATTCTAGAGCTAGAATTCTAGAATCTGGAATAATAAAGAAAACAGTTCTTTACCCCCTTTTTATAAACTTGGTGCAAATTTCATTTATAAAATATTAACCTACTAGACAGGCAGTACCTATTTAGGGATGATAGTATATGTAGGGGTCTCCCTAGTAGTGCAGAGGTTAAAGTCTCAGCGCTAGCAAACTGTCACCAGCCACTTGCAACACCAGGAGTTAGATCCTGGCTAGGGAGCTAACCCTATTTTCTTAACTAAAAGCATGATTTTTTTTTTAGGGTCAAAATATTTAGATAATTTTTCTTTACTTGAAAAATATATCAATTGTTTATTGTATGTAACACATACAATATTCAGGAAGAATATTTGTGTGAGTAATGAATCTCATAGCCTTAAAAAAAAAATCTTCATTCCTCAAACTGCTTAACATGGAGTTTCCCTATGACCCATCAATCCCACTCCTAGGTATCTACCAAAAGACACAAAAACACTGATTGCACCCCATGTTTATTGCTGTTTTATTTACAATTGGAAAAACATGGAAGCAGCCCAAATGCCCAAAAGTAGATGACTGGATAAAAAAGATGTGGTACACCCCATGTTTATTGCTGCTTTATTTACAATTGGAAAAACATGGAAGCAGCCCAAATGCCCAAAAGTAGATGACTGGATTAGAAAGATGTGGTACATATATACAATGGAATATTACTCAGCAACCAAAAAAGAGAAACACATGTCTTTTGCAGCAACTTGGATGGAGCTGGAAAAGATCATGCTTAGTGAGATAAGCCAGAAAGAGAAAGAAAAATACCGGGTGGTTTCACTCATAGCAGGAGTATAATGGACCAGGCGAGAAAATAACAAAAATAATGAACAACCATATACCAGAGACATTTTGTGGGGGTGGAGTGGGGAATGGGATCAAAAAGGGGGGGGGGGGTGCACGGCACTATGGTGATGGTACATTGGTGACTTGGAGATGGAAAACCCGCGGGAATTACAATTGAGATGAAAAAATGCACAAAATGATGTAAAAATAAACTTTGTAATAAAAAAAAAAAGACGTGGTACATATATACAATGGAATATTACTCAGCAACCAAAAGAGAGAAACACATGTCTTTTGCAGCAACTTGGATGGAGCTGGAAAAGATCATGCTTAGTGAGATAAGCCAGAAAGAGAAAGAAAAATACCATAGCAGGAGTATAATGGACCAGGATAGAAAATAATAAGAATAATGAACAGCCATATACCAGAGACATTTTGTGGGGGTGGAGTGGGGAATGGGATCAAAAACGGGGGGGGGGGTGCACGGCACTATGGTGATGGTACATTGGTGACTTGGAGATGGAAAACCCGCGGGAATTACAATTGAGATGAAAAAATATATACAAAATGATGTAAAAATAAACTGTTAAAAAAAATCTTCAAGTTTATTCCTCTCTACATCCTAGCATTCATGGTGAGTGTATAGAAAAAAGTTAACAGCAGGCCTGTAACTTGCTATCCATAGAAAACCTGTTCACATGGTGGTATAGTGTCTGGGAACTTAAATGATAAACAGTTCCCTAGACTGATACAAAATTTCCCATAAATGATGAGAGTGACTCATCATGCCTAAACTGTTCATGCAAACGATGTATGTTAAGCACTTACTTTCCTTCTAGGAGTCTGCAATTTTAGTATTAGGGTGCCTTCATGAGCAGCCCCAATTAAAAACCCCAGCACTTAATTTCTTATGTGTTCTTACAAGTTTATTGGATACACTTCACTTATTAGAATACATTGCTGGAGGAACTAAGTATGTCTTGTGAGACTCCACTAGATGACTTTTGGAAACTTACATCTGGTTTCCACCAGTCTATTCCTTTTACTAATTATGGTTTGTATCTTTTTGCAGCAATAAATCATAGCTTAATTATATCACTGGACCTGGAAGTGATCTTGGTGATTTCATCCTTGCCCTAATAGTGTGTATTCTATTTCAACTAGATCAGGTATATACCTCATATATGTCCATACATATATGTGTGATACAATTAAATGACAGTAAAAATTAGCTGATTAAAAGTTGAGATTAATAATATGGATCATAAATTCTGAAGGGGTTCAAATGAGATTGAGATAAATGCAAGTAGATACATTTGGAACACTCCCACCACCAAATCACCCACAGTTCTCCAAAAAAAATGTTTTTGAAACAATTCAGGAGAAAGCAGAATTCTGAATTTTATATTAAGTACTAAATACTTCATATAAAGACTAAGTACTCAAGCAAAGTTGATAGGATGGGGAACATGATATGGACTAAAACACTAACAGCATAAGTAAATGGAGAAACTCAGGTAGTTTTAGAAGAATATAGGAATTGAGCTTATCTGACAAGATGGGAGGAGGGTTCTCAAGGATAAAGACTTTCTGAAACCACTGCAGTTAGTAGAAACCACCTTTGAAAACAGACAATTACTTTTGTATGTTCCAACAGTCACATGACAGTAACAACTTCTATTGTTCTGCTTTCATGATTGCTAGAGAAAACATGCCCTGACCACCATAAATACAGAAATATAATATTAGACCTAAGTACTTTGTTTACAGTGTTGCTTGAATATACCCAATGATATTCTAGATTGCCGTTCTCGGATCCTTTAAAACTCTATATTAACTGCTTATGTTTATGCTTCCACAGCATCTTAGCTTTAAAAAT